AGGTTCTTTTGACATGTGTCTCTGCGTTCTAATAATCTTTGGCTTTCCTGTTTTATTCTACTCATGTTTTTTCATCTCCCCAGTGTCTTAAATCTATTAGTATCCATTTTTCAGTGCACCATACGTATGTATGTGGTAGGCATCCAAGCTGTTCATCAGTATTGAGTCTTGTCTACCACAGGCCTTATGGGAGGAACTTGGGTTCCTAAGCCCTTGAAGTTGGGTGCGGCTGACTTGATTTGGCCAATGAAATGAGTGTGGAGGTGACTTGTGTCACTTGCAGGTGGTGATTTAAAATGCTGGTCCTCTACTCTTCAGTTCTTTCTTCCTCTTCCTGGTAAGTCCTACAAGCACACACAGATAAAGAGGAGCTGCAAGATAAAAGGATCCTGGAACATGGACCAACACGAGACAACTGCCCTGGGGAGTCACTGAGCTCACAGTGAGCTTTGTGCAAGTAAGAAGTCAACTCCTGCTGTGTTAAGCCACCAAGATTTTGGGGGTAACCTAAGCCTAAACCTGCTCTGATCACAGTATATGTAAACAACCTCAAATCCTTTTTGGACAGAAGCGGAGTTATAAATACACAGGCAAACACAGAAACGAACTCCTAACAAAAGCCTATTTGAGAGAAAAGATTACTTACAGAAGATCATTTATAGGATGTACCGTCAAGCTACTTCTCTTTTGTGCTTCAAATGTATTCTTGCTTCAAGACTGATCACCAGCCTCTTTTGCAATCAACAGGCCTAAGTTGTATTTCAATATTCTATTCTTTTTAAGTTGTGATAAACTATACATAACAGGTATCATTTTAACCATTCAGTAAGTGTGCAATTCGATGGCATTAAATACATTCACACTGTTGTATAACATCACTATTATCTACATTCAAATTTTTTATCATTCCGAACAAAATGTCATACCCCTTAAAAAGCCCTTCTCTTCTTCCCCCAGCCCCTGGTAACCTCTATTCTACTTTCTATCCCTCTGAAATTTGCCTATTCTAGGTACCTTGTGTAAATGGAATTATATATTTGTCCCTCTGTGTCTGGTTTATCCTAAGTATAATGTTTTCAAGGCCCAGCCATGTTGTAGGATATATCAAAATTTCATTCCTTTATATGATTGAATAGTATTCCATTGTATATATGCACCACATGCTATTTATCCATCCATCTGTTGATGGACACTTGGGTTATTTCCTCCTTTTGGCTAATGTGAATGATGCTGTGGTGAACACTGGTGTACAAGTTGTCTGAGTCTCTACTTTCAATTATTTTGAATATATACCTTCAGAGTAGAATTGCTGGTTTATATGGTAGTTCTATGTTTAACCCTTTGTGAAACTGCCAAACTGATTTCCACCCTGCTCTGACTTTTAAATCAAAGGTTTCAATTAGACTGTAGTTGCATGAAATCCTCAATTGCATTTTCCAGGAAAATGTCATTTGGAACATCATTTTCTACACAATGTTTCCTACAGAAAATGCTAAAGGGGGAATGTTTTTGAGGCTACAAGGAAAAGGTTAATGCTTCCTTTTTTCTGGTAATAAGAATTCCAGAATGGGTCTTCAGTCTGCCATGGAGCTTGCAACCAAATTTGAATCTTGAATTGTCATTGCTGATGCCCTGCCCTTACCTCTTGGGATCTCCATTACCGTTTCTGGGCACAGTGGCCTGACTTCAAACGGCCAGTGCCTGCGACTTTGTCAGAGGATTATCCTTGGGCTGTCCATGAACATCAGGCCAGAAATACCTGGAAATTATATCCTTATGCCTTTTAAATAAAGGATAGGGGAAATTACATCCCCACCCTCCAAGCAGCCTTTAACTAATCACTGACAGGTGTAGGTGTATAAAGATCCCAGCTCCTGCTTGGGATCTTGCTGGGTCATGAGCTTTGCATTGTTTCCAAGCTTCCACTGGGATTAAGTACCTGTTGCCCACTGTGGTTCCTGCCTAGTAACACACTCTACATGGATTTCCTTCTTGTATCACTTCCTCTTTCACCTGCTTCTATCCCTTGCATCCACACTCAAATTTCTGGCTCAAGGCCTGCTTCTGAGGGAACCTCAACTAAGACAAAGCTCCTCTCTGGCAACTTCCCAGATCCATTTGCTTTCCTATTTCTGTTCTTCTTGTCCCTGGTTCTGAAGTTTTACTTACATTTTATAATTGTTTTACTGCATACTTTCTTGTTTGTTACCTCAAAGTCTGCATAATAAAGCATAGCAGAATGATTTTTAGAAGAAAAACACACCGGGTAATATTATAATTAAAATACAAGACAGAAATGGTTTATATAATGATCCCAATTTTTAAAAATATGTTAAGTACACATATGTACATACAGGGAAAAAAGAATTGAAAGAAATGGACCAAAATGTTCATTTTGTCGTGTCACTGTAGGTAGTTTAACATTTTCTTCTATATACTTTATTTTACAAAGAACATGAAGCTTTACTTTCCTAATCTATAAAATTAGGCTCATCACACCAAGTTAACATAGTTAACATTTTGGTTAACATGAGTTGTGTTCATTGAAGTTAAGTGTGAATATAATGCAACAATTAGCTGCATCATGTGTTCCATAATAATCACAGCATGTGCCTGACATGTACCCTAATGCCTTCAAGGGGAGCAAGTGTCCTTATTACAACAGAAATGAAACGATTTAAAAGAAAATGTTAGAAATGAGAAAGTAAAATAAGCCCATGCTTTGTACTTTTAAAAGAACATTCCCTTACATGAACTTATCATTACCCCTTACAAAACCCTGCAAGAGGGGCAGGCTTAGGGGAGAGGGAGTGGTCAGGTCAGAAGACAGGCTAACATTTGCTGTATTTTACTGAACAGCAGCCATATGGCAGACACCAAGATGGACACTTTGCAGGCATCTCAGATGGAGATGGATGGGGCTCAGAACAGTTAAGAAAATTGCCCAAGTTTCAGAGGCAGGACCAGAAGCTCCAACTCCAGACTCAGTCCAGCTTTCCTTCTCTTCCACAGGCTACATTATTACACTTGCACCTAGAAGCCCATGTTCTCATGTGCCCACCCATTCATGACATTCTTAGTTCCTGTGGCATCAAGTTCACCAGTCTGAACACACGTGCTACTCCTTCCTACCTCCCTGTCCATGGGGAGTACTAAGGGGTGGTAAGTACTACGGGACAGCAGGGGGAGCTGGTGGTTAGCTCCCTAGTTTCCCACCAAAACCAGCCCCAAATGAAAATCAATCAAAAACAAAACTGTCCTCGCTACACAGACACAGCAGTGTCAAGGGAGTTGCAGTGGAACAAGTCCCAGCTGGCTGCTCGCCTCAAGTCCTCCTTACACAGAAATCCTGGAACTGTCTTCTGAGACACGGGAGGTGAGGTGACATGATGAGGGAGTTAGGGGATTCTGCTTAGCACCCCCAGTGAAGAATGTGGGCTGGGGGAGAGAGCTGCGGCAGGCACTGCTCCTTCTCCATCCCCCTCAGGGTCCCTAATCTGGTCACCACCGTAAAGGCTATGAGAGATTTTCTTGCCAGTCTTTTACTGCAGCGTCATAATGGCCGGCTGATGGGCAGGGCCACCTGGAATGGGCCGGAGTGAGGGCTGGGGGCCGGCAGTTCAGCACAAAGCACTTCAGTTACAGCCTGTGTGTCCCTAATCATGCCCGGCCTCTCTGCCTTGCCTCCTACTCACCGACTGAAGCGCTAGGCTTCTACACTAAACCTTGGGAAATCTTGACTAATCAGGCCCGAGGCAGATCTCTATTATACTTTATGCTCCTTCTCCCGGCAGAACGTCTACCTAAGACAACCATGCGTGGGAGCGTCAAGGAATTCTGCTTTGTCACCACCTCCCTGACAAGCTCTCCGGGCGGGCGAGCACAGGGGCTCTGCTACAGAGCACCTGCAGGCGCTCTCTGAGCCCTGCCACTGGTCCTGGGCTCCAGCAGCTGGGAGTCACTGCCTTTCTCCGTAGCCTTTCAAAGCCCCCCACCCCCATCCCCTCTTGTCCAGATCTCTCCTTACCCCAGAATTCTTACAGCATTTTCCCTAACCCCTTACCACTCAATTATGCTTCAAGGGTGAACAATCTTTAGGAGTGTGGTGCAAAGACTCCCAACTTTGTACTTCTGCTGGGAATAAAGGCATAACCAACCACAGCCATGCCACATACTCTTGCTCAAAACCCTCAGTGGCTCCCACTGGCCTCTCAGTAAGTTCCAGCCCCTTAGTCTGACAGTAAAAGTCTCCCTTCTCCATGCCATTAACCAGAATACCTTCCTAGCCTTCCTCCCACTTGCCCCATATAGATCAGGTAGCTAACGGGGCCCCAGAATGCAATTCTTTCCCCCAGAGTGCAAAAGCTCTTTTAGTCCCCAAAACCCAGTGTACCTAAATTAACTGGGTCAGCCCAGAAGTTACTCTCCCAGCTCCCTTCTTCCTAGTAGGAAAGTTTCCATCCTCACAGCACATTTGACTCCTTATTTCCTATTCAATCTGATTTTCTGTGTAAGGTTGAAGTCCTGGACAGTCTTTTCAAATCTGTGTCTCCCCTTCTGACCTGCGTGGTACTAACTCAAAAAATGTTTATCGGTTCCTGTTTTGATTTGTAAACTTTCTCCCTGAAGTTCCATGAACTCAGGCTCTATCTCAACTAGACTGAAAATCTCCCAGAGTAGAGCCTCTCCCATTTACATTCAAATCCCCTGGGGACTTTGTTACAAGGCAGATTCTGACTCAGGAGGTCTGGGCAAGGGCCGAGACTCTACATTTGTAACAAGATCGCAGGTGACGCTCATGCAGCGGGTCCGTGAGCCACACTGAGAGACGCATGGAGTCAGTATCACCTGTTGATCAGCCAACAGCTCGTGCGTTTGCAAGCCCGGCTGAGCCCGGAGGTGGATGGACGCAAGACTGAGAAGCGCCCTCCTCCAGGAAAATGCCAGCGAGCGCCGCCCCCCTCCGCCCCCACACCCCTTCCCCTGCAAGGCCCGCTTACCTATGGTGGACACCACGGTGCCCACGAAGTAGAAGGCGCCAGTGAAGTCCCAGCGCGGGCGGGCGTTGGCCACGCGGATGCCGGCCTCGGTGGCCTCCTCGTAGTGGCGGAGAAAGCCACGCAGCTCGTCGCGGCTCAGGTTGTGGCGGCGGCTGAAGTTGGCCAACCGCTCCTCCCAGCGCTGCTTGGCCTGACGCTCGTGCGCCAGCTCCAGCGCCGAGAAGACGGCAGCGCCGCCCAGCAGGTACAGCACGATGAGCGCGGCCAGCAGCAGGAAGCGCGCGTTGTCCTCGTTCAGGGGGCCCGGGCCGCAGCCGCAACCCCGGCCGGCCATGGCTGGGCCCCCGGGGACAGCCCCGCGCTGGACAGCGGTGGCCGCGGGCTGACTGACGCAGGCTACCCGGGAGATCAGGGCTCTGCGGTGCGCTCAGCCCGCCCCCGGACGCCTGACGGCCGGCTCGTCCATCGCCGCTGGGCGCTTCCCCAGGGGCCGCCGCCTCGACCGCTCCTGCGACGCCAGCTCCCCGAGTCCTCGTTTCTTGGTTTCAAATCCTCCTGTCGTCACCGACCCGCCCGCCTCGGAGTTCTAAACGCTCAAGGACCGGGCGGCCCAGTGCAGAGTCCGCTCCTGCGGGGCGCGAGGCCGCGGGCGCTGTTCCCACCCCGGCGTCCCGCCCGCTCAGAGCGGGGAGGGGGCGTGGCGCATCTTCGCTGCACACTCGCGCCGACTTGAATTTCCCCCGAAGTGGAGGTCGGGAGACCTCGGAGGCTGGCGGGTAAGCGGAGCCCCAAGGCCTCCCGTCTCTTTGACCATTGATCCTACAGCCGCCGACGGCTAGGACGCGGGCTCTCGGTTGGCCGACTTTGGAGGTGCCTCCCCAGACGAACCTGAGCTGAGGTTCCCCAGTCGCGGCGCCGCGCGGAGCCTCAGGCGTCTCGGACCCGACTGCCGGGGGCTTAGAGGCTGGAGCAGGTCCCGGGAGGGCGAGCGGGTTGCGCGGAGCGGCGTCCACGGGTTGCGAACTCCCGCCGCGTCCCCACGCTGCGCGGTACCCGCGCGGGCGCGCTGGAGGAGACCAGAAAGGGTTAATGAGGGGGCGAAGGAAGTTAGGGGCCCCCCTTGGGAAGCTTCCTTTGACTTGCTGGGATCAGAATGCCCTTGGCCCCTGGGTCCTGCGTGGGGCGTCTCCGCCCCCCACGTGTCCGCACCCCCGGGGATGCGCGCGCCCACAGCCTGCCCAGCTCCCGAAGATGCGGCCCAGACCTGGGGGCTGGAGAGGCCCGTGGCCAGAAGCCTGGGACCCCGGGACCCCGGAGCGTGCCATCTCGTCCACCCGAGCTTGGCTGCCTCGGCACGCTCCAGAGATTTTGCGGGGACAGCGCTCCGCTCAGTGCATTCCCCCACCCCACGCAGACCAGCCTCCAGGCTCGCCAGCAAGAGGCCGCGACCCCTTCCCGAGACCCACCTTTCAGAGGGCGCTGCCGCCGCCGCCGCCGCCTCCACGCTCGAGTCTCACCTCCCGGGGAGCTTCTCCTCCACGCCGTTTTGTCACGACTGTCCCCAGGTCCTCTCCTCCCGCGGCCCTGCCCTGCAGAGCGGTGCGGGAAACAGAGGTCTAGGCAAGGCTCCGGCCAGCGCGCTCCGACGCCGCAACAGGTGGAGCCACGCGGCTGCCCAAGGCCGCGACTCCACCCCGTTCCCCGCCTCTCGGCGGCCGCGGCTGCCCCCAGAGCTAGTCTCCTATCGTCGCACCCACCAGGACCGCAATGATCCGGGAGTGGGTGCTAAAGAGGTGGGTCGGGTGCTTAGCGGGCCTGTGTGGGCCTCTCCTGGGTCAGAAGAGGGCGCTCCGTCCCCTTCAGACACATCTCGCCCCCTTCTTGTAACCAGCCACTCTGCTCCCCTGGAATCACCAGCGCCTGGCACTGGGAGTGTAAATGGATATATAAAGGAATGGGTGTGTGGGCATCTTCGAATTAAGTAGAATTTCCCCACCTTGACAGAGAGGGGTCCCAGGCTCAGAGTCTACCCACCCACCTGTACTCTCCAAGAGCACAGAGTCAAGAAACACCCAGCTCTGGGTTTCAGTACATGTGCCATCAGAAATGCTGATGCTGCTAGTGTTACTCTCATCTCTGCTATCCACTCCTCTATATCTGTTTTATGTAGTCTAAGGGGGACAAGAGTTTTGGGGGAGCGGTAGTACATATGGGGGTCATGTATACATTCCCAGGGTGAATCCTGCCATTTCTCCTCACCCCTCATTTTATTATGAAAAAATCTCAAACAAAGTTGAATTTTTCAGTGAACACCCGCATACTAACCACCTAGGTTCTACAATGAACCATTTACTATAGTTGCTTTATTACGTATCTGTCTATCCATCCCTCTCTCCAGCCATCTACCCATTTTGTTTGGATGCATTTCTAAGTAAATTGTGGACATCGGTACATCTTTCCCACCCCCTACTTCTCCTTGCACATCATTAACATATTTCAGTATTTATTTACATTTTTTTCTCCTGGGGTAAACTTTACATACAGTGAAATGCACACATCCTAAGTGTACCGTTAGGTACGTTCTGACAAATGCAAACACTTTTGCAAATTAAACACCTACCTATCCAGCCTGTGAACCAAATATCACCAACAGGTCAGAGTCCCCCTATGTCCCTTCCCAGCAAATCCCCACCAACATTCCTCCGGAGGAAATCACTGTTCTGCATTTTTCTACCATTGACTGGTTTTGCCTTTATAGAACTTAGTTTTACTTGTTCTAGATCTTCATATAAATGGAATCATTCAGTTATGTACTCTTTTTCTGCAAAGCATTATGTTTTTGAGATCTATCCATGTTACATGTCTTAGTAATTTATTCCTTTTGATTGCCAGTTTTCTATTGTTTGAATTTTCATCCTCTATTGATAGAAACCAAAGCTGTTAGAATCTTTTTGGCTTTCATATATAAAACTGTTAGGAACATTGTTGTACAAGTGTTTGTAAGTATATGTTTTCACATCTCTCAGGGCTAAATACCTAGGAGTAGAATTGCAGGGTCTTAGGGGAGGCATGTATTTAGTTTTATAAGAAACTGCCTGACTTTTTTGCAAAGCACCAACTAACAGTGCACAGTAGTTCCAGATGCTCCACATCTTTGTGAACATTTGGTAGAATTAGTCACTTTAATTTTAAACATACTGGTGGATGTGTAGTGGTGTCTCATTGTGGTTTAATTTGCATTTCCCTGATGACAAATATACTTGTTGGCCATTTGTCTAGCTGCCTTTGTAAATTATTTGTTGAACATTAGTGTTGAAATTATCTGTTGAAATATTGTAAATCTGTTAAATATCTGGTTAAAGTTAGTTTCTCTTTTGAGTCATAGGGCTTCTTATACATATACAAATACAGCCTTTTCTCAGATATGTATCTTGCAAATATTTTCTACTAGTCTCTGGCTTGCCTGTTTATTTTCTTAAAGATGGTTTCTGATGGATGTGTTTAATTTTGGCGAAGCCCAATGTATCAATCACTTATGTTCAGTGTTCTTTGTGTACCAAAACATCATTACCTCCCTCGAGGTTGCAAAGGTTTTCAGTGGCGTTTCTTCCCTAGAAATTGTATGGTTTTAGCTTTTATTTTTGGGTCTATAATTCATTTAATGTTTCTGTATGGTGTAAGAGTTGAGGTTCATTTTGTCCATGTATATATCCAATTGTTTCAGTGCCATTTACTGAAAAGAATGAACTTATTTCAGGAATCTGTATCTTGCCCTGTATTTGTCCATCTCATGCAAATACTACAGTACTTAGATTACTTGTAGCTTTATAGTAGGTCTTGAAGTCAGGAAGTGTGAGTCCTCTTAATCAAGAAGTTCTTTGGATATTACAAGACTACTACATTTTCATAAAAATGATAAAATCAACTTGTTTCATCAGAGAAAGCCTTGTGGGATTTTGATTAGGATTGTGTTCAATTTATTCTGAGGCAACTGTCATCTTAATTCATGAATGCGGTATATTCATATATTTGAGTCTTTTTAGCAAGTGTTCATGTAGAGATCACGCATATCTTTTGTAAATTCATTCTAAAGTATTTATTTTTTGACACTATTGTAAATTAAGTATAAAAATACAAATGACTTTTGCAAACTAACTTGGTTTCTGCAACCTTGCTCAATTTACTCATTAGTTGAGTAGTAATCCCTTTAGGATTTTCTGTGTAAGTAATCATCATTTGAAAGAGTTTTACTTCTTCTTTTCTCATAAGTATCTTTTTTTTCTCACTGCAACAGCTAGAATCTCAGTATAATATTAAATAGAAGAGGTAGAAGCAGGTATCTGTCTCGTTCATGATCTTAGGAGAAAGCCTTCAGTTTTTTGCCATTAAGTATGACGTTAACTGTGGGAAAGCCTGTGGGTATCTTTTTCATATATACCTTTTATCAGGTTGGAGAGGTTTCCTTTACATTTGTTTCTAGTTCTTCTCAGTTTTTTTAAAAAAATAAAACATGAGTAACTGCTGAATTTTGTCAAAACTTTTTTGACATCTATTGCAATGATCATATCATTTCTTCTTCATTCTGTTAATATGTTGAATTTCACTGATAGTTTTCCCAGTATTAAGCCAATCTTGCATTTCTGGAATAAACTGGGGTTCTTCTTCTTTTTATTATTTAGTTCCTTTGGGTTTGTTTCTTTTTCTAGTTTCTTATGGTGGATGCTTAAGTCACTGATTTCAGACCTTTCTTCCTTTCTAATGTTAGCATTTTAAAGCTATTAATTTCCCTGTTAGCTCTATGCTAGCTGCATCCTAAAAATTTTGGTATGTTGTATTTTTATATAATTTTGTTGAAAATGTTTTTTTATTTTTCCCCTTTGGCCTGTGAATTTTTTAGTAAGTATGTTGCTTAATTTCCAAATATCTTTTTTAAGACAAATTATAACATTTTCAGTGTAGCCAGAGAACCATATACAATGTGTTTCCATATTTCTAAATTTATTAAGACTTATTTTACAGTCCAGCATATGGTCTTAGTGAAGGTATCATATGCACTTGAAAAGAATACATATTCTGCAGTTGTTAGGTGTAGTGTCCTACAAATGTCTAGTAGGTCAAAGTAGTTGGGAGTGTCTTTCAGATCTGTCTTTGTTGACATTTGTTCTAGTTGTTCTATTGATTGGTGAGAGAGGAATATTAAAATCACCAACTATAACTGTGGGATTGTCCATGTCTCCTTTTATGTCAATTTGTTTCATGTACTTTGAAGCTCTGTTAGTAAGTATGGGCATTTATGATTATTATATCTTCCTGATGTAGCAGCTCTTTTATTTTTATGAAGTATTTCTCTTTTTCTCTGGTAATGCCATCACGTTTACTTTGTCTGATACTAATCCAGGCATCACACACTTCTTTAATATTTTGCATGGTACCTTTTCTATTTACTTTTAACCAGTGTCTTTATGTATTTAAAGGTTTTGTTGTGGACTGCATTCAGTTGAAGTTTTTTTTTTTTTGTGGTTTTTGGTCAGCTCTGACAATTTCTGTCCTTTAATTGAATTGTTCAGAGTAACACTGTCCAACAGAACTTCTGCAGTGATGCCAATATTTTATATCCATGTTATTCGAAATAGTCTAATATGGCGTTGACTATTGAGCATTTGAGTACAACTGAGGAAATGAATTTTAACATAATGTTAATTTTAAGTTGAAATATCACATGTGGCTGGTGGCTACCATCGTAGCATAGGTTGAGACCATTTACATTTAATGTAGTTATTTATGATTGGATTTAGGTCTACCATTTTACTATTTGTTTTGTTTGTCCCCAGTGTTTTTTGTTCCTGTGTCCCACCTTTCCTGTCTTCTAGATGAGCTGAATATTTTTTAGAATTCCACTTTTTCAACTTTCTAGCTCTCTCTGCATTACGTTTTAAGTGGCTGCTCTAGGGATTTCTCAGTCCTCTACATGTTTGTATTGTATCACTCTGTGTAAAATATAGAAACCTTGCAACTATACACGTTCATTTCCCACCTCCTTCCTCACATCTACTATTCTTGGGTTGCCCTTATTACATCTCTATATGCTAAAATCCCAAATACAACTTTTTATTGTTTAAACAATAATATATATTCTTAAAGAGGAGAAAAAAGTAGTGTTTTATATTGACACAGATATTTGCTATTTCCAATGGCTTTCCTTCCTTTCTGAATATTTGTTTCTCTCTGGTATGTTCTCCCTTCGGCCCAAAGAATTTCCTTTAGCATTACGTGTAGTGCAGATCTGCAAATTCTCTTAGTTTCCTTTTATCTGAACATGTCTTAGCTCATCTTCATTCTTAAAGGGCCCTCTCCCTGCATGGAGATCTGAAGTGACTCTTTTCCTTTCAGCACATTTCAGGTGTTGTACTGTCTTCCGGCCTCCAGTGTTTCTGGTGAGCAGTCGGCAATAGTTCCAGTCGTGGCTTTTTCCTTCAGCTGCTTTCAAGGTTTTTCTGAGTCTGATCTTTGGCAGTTTGACTAGGATACACCCCAGGGGTTTTCTTTGTATTAATCCTGCTGCTTATTCACTGGACTTCTTGAATCTGTAAATTTATGTCTTGCCAAATCGAGGACATTTTTAGCCACAGTTTTTTCAAATCTTTTCCCTGTCCCATGCTTTCTCATGTAGAATTCCAATTACATATAAGCCAAACCTTTTGATAGTATCGCCATGGGTCCCTAACCCCTTTCCCCTCTTTTCTTCAATATTTTCTTTTTGTTCTTCAGATCAGGTAATTTGTTTATCTATCTTCATGTTCCCTGACTTCTGTCTTCTCCATTCTGCTATTAAACCCACCTGATTTCAAATTGTGAGGTGACAGAAAATAGTTGTCTCTGTCCCCAGTTCCTGACAAAGAACTCCAAAACCCTTGTAATTTCCTAAGTGATAACAGCATAGGGGCATCTCTTGTTCTAATAGCTGGTCTTT